TATGCTGTACACAGGTAATTATGTGTTTGTGCCTGCTTTATCAAAAATAGACAAGTAAACATTTTCACTTGTAGAAAGATACAGAATTATATATTGAAGTTTATCTCAAGTATCTGTGTATCTTTATCTGCATCCATAACCCTATCCATTAGTATGTGTCTGCTTGTTTGTGCAGTTTCATGTGACTGTATGTTTATACTTATCTACGTCTGTGCATGTGTGGGTCTTGCTCTGATTGGACACACAAGTTGTATGCACAGATTATAGTTGTCATGTTGAGCTTCTTGCAGCGAAGCTTCATGTCTGCATACATTGGTGTCTGAGATGGGAGGGGAAAGATAGACATGGACATTTGGATATCTAATAATGGGAGTGTATAAAGGTGTGTGCATGCGTGATGTGCACATTTTTCATATAATGTTGCATCTATTGAGAAATCTTACTGTTGCTTGTAAGAAGGAAAAGAAGTAACCAGTGAATAAAGGCAGTCAAATATCTCCAGGCAAACAACAGAAATGTGCAAAGATCCATATAGAAAGTCTAAATTTATTTACAATGGAAATAGATTTGGGGGGAATTTCTGGTCTGTAGATATGTTTCGCTGCAAACAATAAAATAGATTTTGAATATGAAAATATGTTCACCCACATGGTTGTTTCTTTTCTGTTTTGTAACATTTAAAGGCATTATTGAAAAGCTTCCAACAAGCTACCTCGATGTTTCAGTGTTGGACTGGCTACTGCAAGGAATGAAATTCAATATCCTTTCAGTTTTATAAGAGCCTGAATGAATCAACACAAGATAATTTTTCCAACCTGTGGAATCAGTGCAGTTCTTAAACAAAGAGCAATCATAAAACTGATGATTTTATACATAAACAAATGCCATGTTCATGGAATTGAAATTCATAAGACTGAATATCAGCCATGATTAACCTTATCTACATCTTACAATATGTTGACCAAGCAAGATCTAAATAGATCCTTTAAACAAAATCTTTCTTGACATAGATTCCTTGAAATTATATCTGCTAAGTTAACTAAACGAAGTAATTTTCTAAAGAAGTAATGGATTTTTTTTCCAACAGATTTTTATTACTTTAAACATTTATTTTTAGTGGATACTCATATTTGAATAGATGCTCCATTTATTTAATAAACAGTAGATTTATTTTCTTCTACCAGCCTGAATATTCAAGATATCTTAGCACACATTTTTCTTTAATAGGATTTCTTGAATATTCAGTCTGGTAGAAGAAAATAAATAAATATACTGTTTATTAAATAAATGGAGCATGTATTCAAATATGGGTGTCCACTAAAAATAATGTTTAAAGTGATAAAAAAATTGTATTAATAAATATAAAGTCCATTACTTCTTTAGAAAATCACTTTGGATACAAAACTGATCAGATATAACTTTGGGGAATCTAGAATCGAGACAAACTACATTCTTTTAGTTCCACCAGTTGTAGCCTTTATGGTTAAGACCCACCATGGTGCACACATTGTAGAAAACCACCCTCATTCCCTTTGTATTCCATCAGTAAGAAGTAAGTTCTACTCAAGCAGAGTCATCTCGCAAACTGACATTTTGTGGAATCGACTCCCAAGAAGAGTCTTCCCCGATCACTATAATCTTAATCTGTTTAAGTCTAGGGTTAACTGTTATCTTGCCTACACATCTGTATAAATTGTGCCTCTTGCTCTGTAACCCTCTACATTGAGTGGCTTTCAGGCTTTGAACATAATGAACATCATTGTAAAAAAAAAAAAAAAAAAAGACCAAATTTGGTCTTCAGGGATGAGGAAATTAGTCATCTGATGACACATAATAGATTACTGTTTTACAATAACTTATATTATCATTATATCATTTTAATTCTTTTTTTTTTTTTTTTTTTTTATAAAATGATTCCATGAATGCATAGAATTTGAAAATGCCTTTTATATAAAGGTTAAACAGAACTCTAAAAAAACAAAAAGCCTGTCAATAATTAATATTTAAATGGTTTTTCAAAAATTTTTGTTTATTCACATCATCTTGAGAACAAGTGATTTCCTTTGATGAGTCATAAGAGCAGATATATACACAATTAGAAAGTAAACAAATAGAACCAAAAAGAACAAAGGTTGAAAGGATGTAGCCAATAGAATTATAGTGTAGACAAAGCAGAGTGTTTTCATATTTAATTATGGATTGAATATTAATATTTACTCTCAGCATAGCTAAGTTTGGCATGAAATCAGATTGGATATTATTTTTGAGCCAAACTTTTGAATGTGGAGGTTCTGTTTTGAAAATGACAATTTTAAAATGCTAGTTTTTTGTTATTTTTGGGCTCATATATAAACTTCTAACAACAGTGGAAAATATGCAACTACTTCAGCTACAAGATAAATTATTTATTAACCTTGTCTTAGTCTAGCACAAGACCAATGCAGTATAGCACCTCATGAGAAATGAACTTGCAGGCTCATCTTGCAAACTGAATATTGATTATATCTATAAAATATGTATTTTGGAGTTACCTTCATCCTTTGTTTTGAAATTGTTTGATAAACAAGGTTTATTTTTATGGAGATATTAAATAGTGTGTATTTGATTGTTTCATATTTTTAAATTGGCTTCTGAAAAATGTTTGAATGCATTGATACTTTTTGAAGGTCATAGAAAAATTGAGAACAATTCTGATTTTAATAAAAAGAGAACAAATATGCCTTGGGCAGTTTCTGAGAATCTTTTTCATCAGAAAATCCTTGCTTCAAAATGATATGGATATTAGGTCATGTGACTAGTTTGTTATAAAATTCTTTCAGAATATTGGTTTTATTTTTTTAAAGTTTTTCTGTTTTTATGGAAATTAATCTACACTGTTTTTGATATTTGTCTTGTATAATCTTGAAAAGTGTTATGTAATCAAGGAATTAAATAAAAAGCATTCTTTAATGTTAGCTGAACATAAAAAGAACATTTTGCATTTATTACATTTAGGCATAACAAATTTGCGACAGAAAGACCTTGAATTTATTTATAGCATCTAAAAAGGGTACAAATCTGAAGTTATATTATCAGGATTCTTAGGATTTAATCCTGGATCATATATATGATAAAAATATTATTTTAAGTATGATATATTTATGGGTAAAAGTGCTCAGTATCAGAGTAAGGATATGTAAATATAAAGTCTTCTGATAGCTTGATGACTGATGTTAAGCATAAAACAGATTGTTGCAATCGAGTGTTGATGTTCTGTGTGTGTGCGTGTGTGTGTGTGTGTGTATATATATATATATATATATATATATATATATATATATATACATATACACACACAAGGTTTATTGCTTAATAAATTGATGTTACCTTCAGCATACTGATTCCAGAATTTTGTGGACCACCAAGGATCATGCCGGGGGCTGGAGGTATCAGCAATCAATTTTTCAACTGCTGTCTTTGTTAAATTTTAAATCTCTAGTTTCAACACTAACACAGTCCATCTGTCTGGGTTGAATAAGACTTATGTAATCAGCACCAGTTGAAATAGACTATACACATGAGGTAATTTTGAATTTTTCTGTTATGTAATAAATATATATATATATATATATACACACACACACACACACACACACACACACATTGAAGGTAACATCAATCAGTTAAGTGACAAGCCTTTTACTTGTATTAATTATATATATATATATATATATAGTGGACATGTGTATCAAAACTAGATGGCACCAATCTGTTTTATGCTTAACGTTAATTGTCAAGCCATCAGAAGGCTTGATGATTGTGTTTAAGCATGAAACACTGTCACCATCCAATGTTAATACCTATATTCCCACTATTTAAATTCACATATACTCTGCCCCTAATATTTGCACTTTTCTCACTTAAAAACTATATTTTATCATATATAATTTGTATTTTTTTTTTTTTTTTTTTTTTTTACTTAGTTCTTATTGGTGATTGTGCAAAATCTTCATATTTGTAGATGCCTGTTGAAAAGCAAAATAACGTATTGTAAAATGTAATTGAAAATTTAAAAAAATTATTCCCCTTCAGTCTGAATAAAATTATCTGGTGTAGCAGGAAGGGAGACATCTGTTTCAGTATGTTAAAATGAAGTTACAATTGGGAACTGATAAACTAATTCAAGTTCTCAAGTGATTATTTAAATTGTTCAGACTGTTGTCCTCATCTTTGTTGCCCCCATCCACAATGTTTTGGTTGTTGTACACACTGGCTTTCTTCAGGTGAATGGAATTTCAAATTGAACCCTTTATTTCATCCACCAGGGTAGATTGTTCTCTTGGATCCAACCAATGATTTTTATCCACTGGACATGTGTTCCGTGGATGAAGTAAAGGGTTCAGTTTGAAATGCCAATTACCTGAAGAAAATCAAAGTGTACAATGGCTGGAACAGCATGAATGTGGCAACATAAATGAAGACAACAGTCAGAACAATGTAAATAGTGTAAATAATTACAATATCTCATCTCAGAAATATAGACAGATATTGACAAATGATGTCATAATTGCCTGAATTTCTTTGAGAAATATTGTAATTAATAATTTTAGATTAGTTTACTATTTGGTTATTTTTTTCAAATTTCACTCCTATTTGGTTTCATTTTAATTTTCTGTTTGTTAAAAAGAACTGAAAAAAACTTGCTTGGTCATCATTGTGTTTGGAGATAAGAATGATGTTTGCATGTTCCACTGTTATGTATTCAGTATGCCAAATTTTACAGGTGAATGTGCACAAAGCTAGGTGCAGTTGGTGACCAACATACTTGAGGAACTCAACTGGGATACTATCAATGACATATATGCTTTGTTTGATTTCAAGCTGCTTATTGCTACCTGACCCTCTTCAAGTGTGTGTGTGTTATTAAGACAACAGACGGTAGGAAATGACAGATCATTTGAAAAGGCTGCCCCACTCCTCATGCCAATATACCATTACAATCCTGGATAGTTACTATTCTCATGCTGTCCCTATCTACTTGGAAGACAGTATCTCTCTGTGATATTGCAATGATGGTGATCTATTCAACTGCTACCATTTCAAGTATTGTCTAAGATCTATAGTGAACATGTTTTTGAGCTTCAGTATACTGATGATATCACTTTAATCAGCTATTTGCCTCCCATCCTTCAACAACACATGGGAACCATGAGTGATGCCTACAAATGAACTGGGTTCAAGATTAATATCAATAAAATCATGATCTTGCACTAAATTAAACTTTGTTCTCACATGATTTTCATGTTGTGAAGGCAATGTAGGATTTATTTTAACTTGATAAAGTCCCTCAGAGGACAAAACAGGTCAGCTAAGAATAGTTTTACCTCTTGTCTTTTTATTCCTTTTAATCTTTTACATATATGCTGTATCTGAAATATATTGTGTGTTTAAATAGCTTATAGTCTCTAAAATAGGACATGGCTAAAATAGTTGCTATTCTGTTTGACAAGTACAACAAACTAGGAAAGGAAAGCCCACAATGCTAAGAAAAAATTTAGGTATTTCTTCAGGTTAGTTCAACACGTCAGAAAGCATACTCTTAAGCAGGATGTATAAAATCTAAAGAAGGGAGACTCCTAATAGAAACAAGAAAAGCTGCTACAAAAATGTAATAAATACATTAGGAAACTCTATGACAAGAGTGAAACATACAATACATAAAAATATGGAATTATCTGTATCATTAAAATTTGAGATCTGATTTACATTGGCCAAGAGAGATGGAAACAAAGTGGCAAGACCAGATGAGATTGTAATGTAGATTCTGTCAGCCTTAGACAATTTTGGGATTGATAAGGTTATTGAAATAATAAATGAAAAAAATACCAGAAGACCTCAGTAGATCTACATTCATAGTGATGACAAAGAAGCCAGTTAGAAATGGGGTAAAAACAATGTGGCTTTGTTCCTGACACTGGAACAAGAAATGCTAATTTTATGATGAGAATGCTTTCAGAGTGGGTGATAAAAATCCAGAAAAATGTATACCTTTGTTTCATTGACTGCCAAAAGGTGTTCAGTAAGGTATTAAAGTTTTACTTGGAATATAAGAAAGAAAAACTTGATTTACATGGGAAAGATATTCAAGGAATCCATCACTTTTACTAGGAACAAGCTAAATGTCAATAGTTCAGTGATTATACAAAAATAGAAACAAGGATGTTTTCTCATTGGATTTATTTAACTTGTACAGTGATATGATTTTAAGAGAAGATCTACCAGGATTTATTATCAGTGGATATCAACAACATAAAATATGCAAATGATACTGTATTGATAGCAAACTCAGAAGGGAAGCTGAAAGAACTCTTTAAATAAGGAAGTAAAGGAATGCAAAAAGGATTAATTGTAAGAAGACAGAATACACAGTTGACAGCAAAAGATAGCCAAGTATTGGAGATGTCAAAATCAAGCTAATTCAGAAATGTAACTATCTTGTTAGTGTAGTAACAGATGATAGAAAATATAACACAGAAATGCAAATCAAAAATACCTTTCAAAAACCAAAGTATTAAGACATGGGAAAATTGTGTTAGAAGTAAAACATACTGAACTGCTATGTAATATCTATCATCTAACATGGCAATGAATGCTGGATAATCTCTTCATAAATATATTTGAAGCAACAAAGATGTGGTTCTAATAATGAATGCTGAGAATATCATTAATAGAGTATGTGAACAATGAGGAAGTTTTATACAAAATAGGATTTTTTTTTTTTTTTTTTTTTTTAGATTTATTCCATCCAAGGTAGTAAAGCCAGTAAAACACATGTGGTTATTGAATATGAAAGAATTAGAAAGCAGGAACATTATTAAGGAGTGAGATCAATAGAAGAGTAATCATGAAGACAGTAAATAATGATTGATATTACATTTTAATTTTTGTAGGTAAAAGTTAACTGGAAAGCATGGAGATGGAAGAGAGTTCCAGAAGTGAGAAAAGAAACTGTTAGCATAGAGCTTATGGTTACATCTATAGCTAAATCTACTCTAAATCGATGGGGCTTTGTTGCCAGTCTATTACTGCACTTACATTCACAAAGTCTAGGTACCATAGTGAAGAGCTCATCCAAACAATTACCATGAAAGTATTTATAAAAAAGGCACAAGGGAAGAAATTTTACTGCAGTGAAAAAGTGACTGAAACTGAGATGTCAGGACCAATAACATTGCAGATTCTTCTTTGGATTTTATCAAGAATCTCTAAATAGCTAGCAGGAGCACCAGACCATATCTGGCAGCAATATTTGAGCTATGGATGAATGATCAAACAACAAGGAAACTGCTTCTACTGGATAGAAAGTTGAAATTTCTGGGACACATAATGAAGAAACAAGGCGTAAAGAGTATAACTCTCACAGCATACAAGATCTGTCTGAAAAATGACAGGACTTATCTGTTTTTCAATGTGAGAGGCATCATCCACACTGAGTTGTTGCTACATGGCCAGACGATTAATCGGCAAGTCTAAAAAGAGATCCTGCAGCATTTGCTTTGCTTTGCTCAGTGCATGAGAAGAGACATGAGTTGTTGCAGAACAAATCTTGGCTGCTTTACCATGACAATACACCTTCTCCAATGCTCCGAGCATCGGGCAGTTCTTGGCCAAGAACGACATCACTGTACTGGTGCAACCTTCCTATTCACCTGATTTTATTTGGATCATCAAGGGGACTCATTTTGAAGGTGTACAGGACATCAAGAATGATGTAACAATGGAGCTGATGGCCGTCTGAGAAGAATCCAGGGAAGGATGGAAAAGTGCATTAGATTCGAGGACTACTACTTTGAAGGAAAAACCATGTATTTTGTTGCTTGGAATTGAAATGAATTGTTTGTGACACCAGTCCTGTTACTTTTTAGACAGACATATACTGAAGGCAATAGAAATGGAGCAAAATAGTGAGTAACCTATGGTTTTAATGGGTTTGTGCAAATGGATTGGCAAAACAAGGACAAAGAGGAATGGTAAATAGTCAAGTTATTTAAAGAAGCAAAAGACAAGGGAAATTATGGAAAGCCATAACTAACCACATCCTGAAGGGACATAGTACATAAAAGAAGTTCAGCATGAAGAGAAATTGAATTATACAGATCATGTTGCACCATTCTTCCTTGTGGGTAAGGCTTACCTGCATTGAAAATTAATTTTCAAAATTTTTGCTTTTGCTGGAGCTTGAACCATGAACAGTGGTATTGAATAGGAAATATGCAACTATTTCGACCACCATGCTCATGTGTTTATATGTGTAGATATTTAGTTAAATGTGTACAGTAAGTATAAGAAAGATTTTTGTTCAGAAAATAAACTGAAAAAAAAGTGTGCATACACACTAAGCTTAGCTTTGTCTAGCATGGGAGCAAGACAGACTGGTGATAAAGATTATGTCATACCAATCTTCCATGTAGGAAGGGCTTAGTTGTGTTATAAATCGGTGTTTAAAATCCTGGCTTTTTATCTGGGTTTCAACTCTGACCTTTCACACCAGAGAGAAATGCATAACTGTGATACCTATTACATATATCTATATTTATTAAGCCTAGCTTAGTTTGGCACAAAACCCCCACTCGTTTTTTCTTTAAAATCAGTTCTCTCCAAGCAAGGAAATAATGCCACAAAGACACAAGGGGCGACTGGAAGTAAAAGGTAAGGAAAATATTCTAGAAGGAACTGGAAACCCAATCCTAAACAGGAAATAAGGGATAAACCTTTACTCCTTTTTAGAATACAGAGGAGTGTGAACTGGATATAGGCAAACCTATCTACTTCTATTGAGAAGTAGGGGAGTAAATAAATAGTAAATAAAATTTCAGAAGTTAGGCAGACATGTAAAAAAAAAAAAAAAAAAAAAAAAAAAAAAAATTACAGAGTTGAAATAGACTTTAGAAGGAACTGGAAATCCAATCCTAAACTGGAGACTAAGAATAAACCTCTACAACTATTCAAAAGACTGGAGAGGGTGTGAACCAGATCATAGGTGAACTTAGCAAGTTGGGGCATCCATTGAGGATAACCCAACTTGTTGAGCAGATGATTACATGAATAATCATGTGGCCAACAATTACCATTTCTTCATAGCAAATTATACACACACACACACACACACACACACACACACACACACACACACTTTATTGTGGTTTCTTTATTAGAAAAGTAATGTGCATAGCTATAAATTTCTGAAAAACATAAAGAATTGATATTTTTAGAAGAACAATGTTGAACTTGATGAGACGTGACAAGAAATAGGGAAGAGGAAATGTCTGGACATGAAACGATCAGGATTGGACAATGTTTGAGTCATTTTGTTTGCAAAGAAGATTCTTGTCTAGACATTTTTTATTGGTATGTGTTTTTGCAAAACATTTAAATTGAATTTAAATTCAAATGTAAGTGAATATAATCTAAGAATAATGAAATTAGATAGCAATTTGATTCTGCCATTATTATTAAGTTTTGGTTAGTTTTTCTTTCATTTTTTTTTTTTTTTTTTTTTTTTTTTTAATCACAATGCCCACGTTATTTTTATATTCTGTGATTTAAGTAAGCAGCATAGTAAGAAATTATTGCATATAGAATGTAATAATGACCTGGGCATTGTAATGAAAGGCAATAAAAGATGGAAAAAAACTACTAAACAAAATTAATAATAATGACAATGTTTCATCAATGAAATTTGGGCAACTTAGACTATTACTGGGTGTAAACACACAGTATTGTCTGGAATTTAAAAAATAAAAAGTGTGTAGCGATCTGATGAAATTTAAATGCTGTCTGGTGCTTAACTTTTGTCAAATTAGTAAGGCATGATTCTGGTCAAACATGTGTCCAAAGATGAGGAATGTGAGTTCAAATCACATTGAGAGCATATTTTTAATTTCTGATTCATGTCAGTAAATGTAAAAACAACCCAAGTATCATGATAAAAAAAGATATAATAATATGAAAAACAAAAAAAAAATTATTAACAATGTACCATACTTTATTGTTAAGAATATTATCAAAAATAAAATGTGACAATATGATGAAAAGCTTTGATTTTTTTTTTTATATTCATTTTTAAAAATTTTTTTTTAAATTTAGAATATTGGTAATCTTGCATCTATGTAAACATTATCCTACCAAGTGTCTTAATTTTTGTGTGGGGGGGGATAGGGAAGACGCTTCTTATACGCTACTTGCTACCAAAAAAAATTTTTTTTTTTTTTCTTCTATGCCATCAAGTACAATAACTAGAATATTGAATCTGATTTTTTGGAGTTCAAAGATGAAATATTTTCATTCATCAATGAAGTGTTTGGACTATTGTACTCATTGGATAAATTTACCTTGTGCTTGATTTAATACAAAACTGAATTCTGTAATACTTGCAAGTTTGCATTTCATTGATATTTGCTTTGTTTAGTTCATTCCAAGGTTAAAATAGTAATCATGAAACACTCGGAATTCATTGACCAAACAGTGTTACTTTCGGTTGTAATTTATAAAATCTTTTTTTTTTTTTTTTTTTTTTTTTTTTTAAGTAGATAGGCTTCACATGCCCAGTGTTTTTGATTTTTCTCATATTGATCAGTTTCCTCCCTAACTTTTTGTTTAAGGTAGTGTTGAAAGTGAACATATTGATTATCATTATTTTCTCGCCTACTTACATGTACTATCCATTTTAAGTTGTTGCTGCTGTTGGAAGTTTTCAAGTGATTTTCCTATTATTTGGTAAAGTTGTTTGTGATTTGGTAGCACTAGTATATGAAATCAGTTGAAGGATAGCCCTCTTCAAAACCCACAGGGTTCATTTGCTTGAATTCATTTTTAATCATTGATTTAAGAAGATGGTTGCATATAGCTAATGGCTTAGAAATTTCTGAACAAATTGGATGCCATACATAACATATGATTCTGGATTTGATGTAAAATTAGAGGGAGATGATGTTTTCACTGTTCTTCCAAATCTGTCTTAAATACCCTCATTTATGCTTTTATTCTTTCTTTTTAAGGCAAGGGTTTAAATACTGACCTCTGGTACAGTTGGAAAATCTCCAACTATCTCAAACAAGCAATTTTCAAGACTGTATTATTAGTTTCTGTCTTAGTGATGTCTGTCCACTTCTGTATTGTCTATTTGATTCATATTATATTACTTGACATTACTCATGTGTTTTTGCATTCATTCAGGCTTGGTTGGGAGAAAAATTTCTTACTGTGGGCTTTAAAATTCTGTTCATCTTGCATCTCACTTTATTTCCTATTTGTATCAACTAAGGGCAGATTTAATTAAGAATTCACTAAAGCCTGCATCAACTATATGAGTTCAGATATGTCCTTGGGCAGTATCCAAACCTTGCACTGGAGAATTTCCAAAACCACATACCACTTATGCAGTACCAAAAGAAGATTCAAGAACCTTGAATTGTAATGTATCATATTTGGAAGTGCTATACATCTTCATATTAATCATTAATAAACTGGGATCACCTCAGTCAAAGTGTCTAAATTAATTTTCTCTCCTTTTTTTTCTCTCTTCTCCTCCTCCTCCTCTCTCTCTCCTCCTCCTCTCTCTCTCCTCCTCCTCTCTCTCTCCTCCTCTCTCTCTCTCCTCCCTCTCTCTCCTCCTCCTCTCTCTCTCCTCCTCCTCTCTCTCTCCTCCTCTCTCTCTCTCCTCCTCTCTCTCTCTCCTCCCTCCTCTCTCTCTCCTCCTCCTCTCTCTCTCCTCCTCCTCCTCCTCCTCCTCTCTCTCCTCCTCCCTCTCTCTCCCCTCCTCCTCCTCTCTCCCCCCTCCTCCTCTCTCCCCCTCCCCTCTCTCCCCTCCTCCTCTCTCCCCTCCCTCCTCTCTCCCTCCTCCTCCCTCTCCCTCCCTCCTCCCTCTCCTCCCCTTCTCTCTCCCTCCCTCCCCTCTCCCTCCCTCCCTCTCTCCCTCCTCCTTCTCTCTCTCCTCCTCCTTCTTCTCTCTCTCCTCCTCCTCCTTCTCTCTCTCCTCCTTCTTCTCTCTCCTCCTTCTTCTCTCTCCTCCTCCTCCTCCTTCTCTCTCTCCTCCTTTTTTTTTCTCTTTCTTTTTAAAACATACTTTGAAATATCACTTAACTTTTTAGAACAATTTTATTGCACTGGATAAACTTGATAGTTGTGGTTATTTGGGTACAGTTGTCTGGATTAATTTTCTCACAGCAAACCACAAAATATCTTTAATACCTGATGTAATGAGAATATTCAGTGCTTCCAACAGTTTCTTAAAATTTTTTTTTTTTTTTATTTACAAAGTTACTAACATGTGATTGTACTTCATTGCAATATATATTCAAATTGTGTTGGAAATCAAAATTAAACATTTAGGCTTTCAGAAACTCTTAGAAAATTATTTTTACTGTGATTCTTGATTGCATTGAAGATCATGGGAAAATGATATATACATTTTTATATACCAAGAACAATTTTAGGGAAATCTATAACAAAGTGGAAAAAGAAAAAACTAAATGAAATTGGATAGACTACATACCTAAAACATATATTTAAAAAAAAAAAAATTAATTTTCAGAGTTTCTTCTCCTCCATGCACATATGAAGTCACATCAAGGTGATCCTAAATCAAATTAATTAAATACCATATCACCTACAATATCCAGTTCTGGACATTGGTGGTGGTAAGGTATCTAATTTGATTTATGATTACAATTTATCCTCTGAGATCACAAATCATTTTGTCATATGGTCTTGTATTTCTTTCATTCTGACCTGAGGAAGCCAAAAACTGAAAATGCTCTGGTGAAATGTCGTTAATAAATTTTCCACTTTGTCTCATAATTTTCAGTTTTATTTTGGATACTATTATACATCTGACAAAAAGACACACACACACACACACATATATATATATGGTTAGGAAAATGAAAACTAGATATTAGCAACTGTATATGCGCATGCAGGTATGCATACACAGGTAAGCAAATAAATATTTAGCAAATTTTGCTAAGAGGTGTAGACATAACGACAGAACACTGTTATGTCTACATAACATATTAGACAGAACTAATAAATATATGTTAATAAATACATATATATCTACATTTGGTATGCAACTTAAGTTTTATTGGTTACCTAACTTGTCGGGCACAAGATATAGCTTATTTTTTGCTTAAAAAACATACAGATGTTCATGGGAGAGACGCTGAATCATAGTTCAAAATTAAAATGGTACAAAAATAGTACAAAAGCAATACTAGGGTTCAAGTGCATGAAATGGGTTGCAGGTATGAATTAATAGGAAAAAAAAACACCCAAAATAAGCTATATCTTGGGTAACCAATGAAACAAGTTGCTAACAAACATAGGAAATATATATATATATATATATAATTTAAGACATTTTTTATGTTTATACATTCTTTTATAGATAAACATAAAAAAATGTCTTCAAAATTGTTGGACTTTTTCCATTTCATTATATATATATATATATATATATATATATATATATATATATATATATATATATATATATACACACACACACACACACACCAGGACAAAAGCAAGTCAATGAATTTGTATTTTCAAAAAATCATATTTTATTTTCTGTGATGCAAAACTTAGGCTGAAAACCTCAACTTAAATAAAGTCAAGTGTTTAAGACAATCAGGAGTAAGGTTTTTATTAATTTGAGAATTAGGTTTGAGAAGCTGAAAGATAGAATACAATTAAAATTTGAAGATCTGTGGTATCTTGACTTATCATTCCATTTAGATATTTTAGGATTTAAAAAAAAAAACAGGATTTTTTTTTTTTTTTTTTAATTAAAAATTTTGAAACTGAAATAAATATATCTTCATTGATTTTTAGATCATTGACTTCACTTATTTGCTACCAAGATTTAAACCTGACATATTCTGATCTTTTTAACTCTGAACCAATCATATCAAGTACAATTGGTTGAGTTTTTCATGTTCTATCTATTTTCAGGTGGGAAAATAATTCCGGATATTGTTAGTTGAAATCATTTTTACATTTTTTTTAATTTTAAAAAATTTTTTTTTTCTTTTCAAGCGTGAACCTTTTAAACATGACAATCCACAGATTAGTCCAAAAATTAAGCATATCTTAAGCATGAAGTATGATTTAAGTTTTTTTTCCTTTTAATGCAACTAAAGTTATCCAACCATCTCAACTTAGGGAAAGTAACTGAAATTTCTAACTCTTATTAGGGTTATATTTTAAATATGAAATGTCTTAAACTTGAGAATTTGGTAAGCATGATCAGGCTAATTTAAAATTACTTGATGCTCATAATAAAAAAAAAAAAAAAAATATATATGTACACACAAACATTATATTCTAATACCTGAGCCCCAGAGTCATGTTTAAACCATAGGAGATTGCTAACCTCAAAAAGTAGAAATTTACTTTCACATGTTAAAATAATTTTACAAAATAAATATTTTTAGATATAGAAGATGAACAGATTTAAAAGCTGATTTCATTTTTTGAAAACCAGCAAAAAGAAAGCAATTTATTAATGGATTTGCACCTGTCAAGTGGTATTGTTTGATTTTTCTGTAAATTATATAATTACTCTACTACTCAGTATAAAAAATATCAACTCATCAGTGCCAGGCTTTTACCATTCAACATTTATGAAAAGCAAATAAACAATCAGTTTTAATGTTGCTTGATTATTCAATTTTTTAATCATTTGGGTTAGGTTTACATACTGTACAGTTTGAAAGAAAGTTGGTGAGGAGGCATGCTGGTGTAATGGATAGTGGCTTCGATTAGGGAATCGGAGAGCTGAGTTTGAATTCCAATCGAATCCATTACATTCACTTGCATACTAATACCCTTGGGAAAGGTATGAATCCTCTTCTTTTCCCCCAGCTATGGGTAAATAGCAGGACAGACCGGGTTCTTTTGCCTTGGATGGCAACTGGTTTACCAAAGAAAGAAATGGCAACCTACTGCGGGAAAAAATCTGCCTCATCAATCATGTTTTGAAAGATGCATCATACATAGGACATAACTGACTGAATACAGAAAAACAAAGTAACTAAAATACTTTAATTATAGTGGAATAATATTTTGGTCATAGTCATTGGAAATGCAATTTGCTGGTTATAAATATGGATTATCCTGAAAACAAAGCAGGAGATATTTTTCCTGCATTGAAGAATTTGCTAATAAACACAGATTTAATCACTTAGTATTGGTAAGTTTTTCTTGAGAAAGAAGTTATTGACTATTATTAATTGAATGTATGGAAAACAAATATCAAAATAAATTGCTTAAAAAGAAAAGATGCAAAAAAAAAAGCAATCAAATTTTCCAATATATATTTCAGCCAAGTTGGAATTTTTCTTGTGGTAAAAATGAAATTTAATTTCAAATTCTTCATATGGAAAAAAAAAAAAGAAAAATTGTTTTTATCCTCTTTAGATTAAAATGGTTGATCTTGCACTGAATGACCATATTGTAAGCATTCAAATTCCTCTCAGGCCTTTATATTCCTTTTTAAGGCTTTGATGATTGGAAATATTTTTTTAATCTTAAATATGGAACAATTTTAAGTGTTATTAATCTTCATATAATTTACTAAGTAATTTCTTACTTACAAATACGTTTCATTTGTCACTTTCAAATAGTTGAGCAAAGAATGATAATTCACTTTTGCTCAATGATGAAGATCCAGAGAGCACTTTCAAACCACAAACAATTTTGGCAGCAAAATCACCACTGAAGACTGTTTTTCTTTAACTCTTTTTCTGATGGCTATTGAAGCCTTTATAATAAACATTCACACAAATAGGTAAAGTTAATTCATATCTAGTATGTCAGCAGTATTATATTATTTTAACCAGCAATAAAACCTACCAATATACAATAACTTTGTTTTTAGCAGAACAATCATTCACTTTAACCATTATTAATTTTTGTTATCTTAATTCTAGTTGATTTATTTGCATTATAGTATTACAAATAATATTGAATTTTATCACTGACTAAATATTGTCAATTATTATTAATTTCTGACAAGTATTTCTTCCATCTTAATTTTAGTGTTGCTACAAAATATCACAGATCAGAAATAAAGAATAGTCTCTCAGTGAAACTTGAACTTGCATCTCTTTTTTTCTTGGGAAATCCCTTACTGCAATAGCTATCCTACCACCCACTTGATCTGTGAGTCAGCAGTTGTAGAATATCAAAGATAACTACATAGATTTATTCTTTATTTTCCTTGAACACTCATGAAAATGTATCAGTAGTTGCAATGAAAAGCAACTGAAGTTAAGATGGATACAGTACTAATAAAACTAAACAATGGTTGATATGAATTTATCTAATAATAAAATTGAAATTCAATATGATTTTAAGGAAATACATAGTTTTAGACAGTGCAGAATTATCATAATTTTAAAATAATTAATTCTGCATATATGTAATATATACTTCCAAAAGAAATGGTCATATTCATTGATGCTGTTAATGGAAGTGATTTTATTAAGGGGATTTTGTGCAGCTTCTAAACACTTAAACTATTTCTCTCCCTTTGATCTTGTTCTTTTTTCCTTCTAAAATGGCTGACTCTTTTTCTCCATTCAATAGAAAGCATCAAATTTAATAAAGCATATTTTTTATTACAAGTTAATTGTATATCATCCATGAAAAAAATGCCATCGTATTGATGGTTTTTGACAAATGATTAATGTAGTAGACATTTTTGCTTGCTTTTCTATTCATCTGACTGAGTGTGTGGGGGTGTGTGTGTAATATATATACACACACACACACACATACTGTATAAGGATGCACGGTGGAATAGTGAATAGTGGCTCTGATTAAGGAATTGGAGAGCCAAGTCTGAATTCCAGTTGAATTCATTACATTCACTTACATGCTAATACCCTTGGGAGAGGTATTAATCCTCTTCTTCTCATTCCAGATATGGTTAAATAGCAGGACAGACTGGGTTCTATAGCATTGGATGGTAACTGGTCTAGGAGGAGGACAACTCTGAATTCAAAACCTGCTGAGGGTTGTTTGGGGGCATTGTGGCACATAGTGCACCAGGTCTCTGTATTCGGCTCTTCAAAAAGTGTGGTTAGTTCTGCACAAAGCCATAACCAC